TCAGCAATGCCACCCGGAGCGTTTTCAAGAGAGGATAACTACAGCTGTCGTCGATGGCGCCAAATACAGTATCTCAGCAACCTGTTTTGGCGACGATGGACGCGAGAATATTTACCTTCGTTACAGCAACGCCAAAAGTGGAACAAGCCACAGAGAAATCTCGCTGTGAATGATATTGTGCTGCTTCTAGACGAGAACACGCCCCGCAGTATCTGGCCATTAGGACGAGTAATTGAAGTCTACAGCAATCGTGGGGATGGATTAGTACGTTCAGCTAAAGTCAAGACCAGATCAACGGAGCTGGTGCGACCAGTGGACAAGATTGTTTTACTGGAGTCAAGTGCAGAGGACGCAATTGACGCAAGCAAGGATCAGTAAGATGTTATTATAATGGACATTTATCAGCTCACGCTTTGAACATTATATTTTACAATCTATAGTTTGTTAGGTTAAGCGTTTCAACCTGCCATAGTTATTTGGTAAAGGCTAATTTCATCGCCTTTAAGGGGCCGGAATGTTAGTTTTGAAACGCTCTTTTGTTCATTTGTCTTATAGTATTTTTTAGTTGCTCTAAGACAGTTTTATTTTTAGGTTATGAAACGTGATTATACCAATCTTTCTAGAAACATTTCGTAGGTTTTCACGCTTATGTCATGGTGCGGTACTTTCCGCTAGGAAACGCGTAAAGCGTAGGTACAGTTTTACTTAGTTAACGCCCTAGGCATAATACACGTATACTCTATTATAAAAGAGGCAACGCAGTACTAGAAATTATAAGTTATCCCGCTATCATTGGAGTTGCTATCAGAAGATATTTCGCTGCTGCTAGATTGCTATTTTTTGCTACTTTTGGTGCGAGTCGTCGACCAAAGTAAGTCTTTTATTTTCTTATAGTTATTTAGTAGTGTAATTCGTGGAACTATCAAGTCTTTACGCTATCTCATGAGAAGGACATTGATTTGAAGACAAATCTGCTGGAATCAAACAGGATTGATTATTGTTACTGTTACCAAAGTATTTTATATAATCTAGTTTAGTGTTTTTAAGATAAGTTCCGTTCAAGCGGAGTCACTACGATATAGTTTTTTGATTGTTTTATTCACGCTGAGAGTTAAATGTCATTGTCTCGGTTAATTAGCTCAAGTATCAATTATCGGATTTTTCAGTTGTCTGCTTCTTGCATCATAGTTTTATGTCGTTTAGATTATTCTACCCTTTAGTCCTAATTTTATGGTTAATCTAAGTAGTTCGTATTCTTTAATTATCGCTTTCAGTTCGAACCTACATCTACGTCTAGCTACGTCTACGTTTAGCTGCGTCTACGTCTACATTTGTTACGTCGTAACTAGGCTACGAACATTACTATTACACTGATTTGTTGTACACGCGACTACTATTGTTATGAACTCTAAGGATCTGTCATTAAATCTGCTTGATATTCTATCACATGGAGTTCGAATCATCTATCGCCTCGCACCGTGCTACCCCTGTTTTTGTTGAGATTTGGATTATTCGCGACCTCCAGAATTTCAGCAATCACATCCGTAAGTTTAAGATTATAAGAATCTGTTTTTCAAGGGTTCGAATTGCAGCCTAATTTAGCCTAAGTTTAACATTAGACTTTTTTAAAGTAGATTCGAAACGCAAACTTATTTAGCTTAAGTTTGACATTAGACTTTGATAAAGTATATTCCAATCGCGAACTTATTTGACTTGAGTTAATATAAGAATTTGTTTTTCAAGTTTGACATTACAATTTTTTACAGTAGATTTCTGATAGATTCTAATCGCGATCTCAATGAGCTTTAGTTGATATAAGAATTTCAATTTGCTCAAACCGCAACCTAATTTAGCTTAGGTTTAACATTAGACTTTGTTAAAGTAGTTTCAAATCGCACACTTATTTAGCTAAGTTTGACTTTAGACTTTGTTTAAGTATATTCCAATCGCGAACTTCGAAAATCTCTTGAGCTTTACTTAAGATAAGAATTTGTTTTTAAAGGGGCGGGAGTCACTCAGACAACCCACAAGTCCCCGCCTGTAATTCGCTTTAGCTTTAGTTAAGATAAGAATTTGCTTTTCAAGGGGCGGGAGTCACTCCGACAACCCACACGTCCCCGCCTGTAATTCGCTTTAGCTTTAGTTAAGAATCCTCTCTGCATTTAGCACCCAGCCGAAATGTGTGCGATGGTGGAAAATTTTCCATCTCACTGATATTGCTGTGGTTAACAGTTTCATTTTGTTTCAGGCACAAAGGGCTGAGAATACAGAGATCGAAAGGAAGGCTGGGTATTCGCAATGTGATTTTCGCGGCGAAATTGTTCGGGAAATCTGTAGCTTTGAGGAGTATGGTGATCCCCCTACTTATAATCCAGCGAGGAAAAGGGCTCAACCCTCAGAGCTTAAAACCGTACATGTTCTTTGTTTTTCTGAACAGAAGAAAAACTGTGTTCTGTGCTATACACAGGAAAAGGCCGAAACAAAGGTTTACTCCTATTGTGCTCCCCCACAATGTCAGGGTAAAAACATGCATGTCACCAAAGAGCGAAATTGTTTTGACATCTTTCATAGCAAGGAATATCACAGCCGATAATGTTCTTTAGGTCTCTGGTGCATTGTGCTTATATAGTCTTAGGATGAAAAAAAAAGAAGTGTAAAAAAAAATGACAAAAAGAATTGCTAGCATAGTAATTGTACAGGAGGTCTGAAACAAAATGATGTCCTTTTTTGTGAGATTTACTAAAGGCTTAGTTTTGTTTCTTTTCAGGTAGATATATGAGTAATGGCCTGGCTACAATGAGTTCACATGCTGAGTGAATTAGACCCCCAACGTGCGTGACAATATAGTAATAATTTCATTACTGTACCTTCATGCACAGAGTGGCTAATACCGGTGTTTCAAACAGGGGGAGAGACCAGGAAAGCTTCTCATATCAACAAAGATACAAATACTTGTCTCGTTTGTGTTGTTAACTTAACGTTATTAGCAGACTGCATTTTATTGTAATTGTTTTTTTTTTTTTCAATTTCCAATTTTTTTAAAATCGGCCATTTCTTAGAATTTTTTGCAAAAAATAACAAACTCACGTCAATATGGGTTGTTAAGTGTTCAGAAAGGCTCATTGCATTATTTTGCCATAACCCCCATACCCTAGCCCCTGAAAAAAAAAATTGAAAAAAAAATTTTTCCCAATTTTTTTTAAATAGAGTGGGTGTTGAAAATATGTGTTTAAAATAGTTCATTTGTTTATTTTCGGGGAAATTTGGCATCCAATTAGCCTGGATTTGAAGTAACAACTTCTCTTTTAACATATCTCTCAAAGACACTTCATTTTGGAGTAAATGGCGTCCACCTTGGATTTTTGCCATAAATTATGCACATTTTCTTACATTTGAATTTGTTTTTTGAAAACTGTATTCAATGTATGGAGAGAAATTAATCATTTTTATAGAGCTAATTTATCCCTCTTTCAAATGGGAAAATCTCCCGATCTACCAACAACTTTACAACGAGTCCCCACATAGCTCTCTAGGGATGCAATCACCCTTTGAAGTGTACTATGGTAGACAGCCCAACAGCGTTAGAAATAAACTTTCACTTGGCGAAAGGAAAGCTTTTGAGGTCTCTGAAGAGGACGAAACGGAATTCCAGTTTAAGAATCCAAAAAAAGACACTTTAAGATAATGGGAAAAAGAGAGAGATAACGTTAGAGATGAAGCCCTTAAAGCATCGATGGTCGCCTCACAAAAAATGATAGAACAACAACTTAAGCGTAACCCACCTTCTCTCTATTATGTTGGAGAAACTGTCCTTGTTTGCATTGCAAAAACAAAGAAAACTGTAAAGGGCNTGAAAACTGTATTCAATGTATGGAGAGAAATTAATCATTTTTATAGAGCTAATTTATCCCTCTTTCAAATGGGAAAATCTCCCGATCTACCAACAACTTTACAACGAGTCCCCACATAGCTCTCTAGGGATTCAATCACCCTTTGAAGTGTACTATGGTAGACAGCCCAACAGCGTTAGAAATAAACTTTCACTTGGCGAAAGGAAAGCTTTTGAGGTATCTGAAGAGGACAAAACTGAATTCCAGCTCAAGTCTCCAAAAAGGACACTATAAGACAATGGGAAAAAGAGAGAGATAACGTCAGAGATGAAGCCCTTAAAGCATCGAAGGTTGCCTCACAAAAAATGATAGAACAACAACTTAAGCGTAACCCACCTTCTCTCTATTATGTTGGAGAAACTGTCCTTGTTCGCATTGCGACAACAAAGAAAACTGTAAAGGGCAAAAAGACAACTTTAAGAGGTACTTGTGAGGGACAAATATTAAAAGCTGATCATGATTTATACAGATATTATGTTGATTTAGAGGATCCGAACACTGCGAAGCTGACGACATGACATCATTGACAAAAGAAGAAGAGAAATGAAGGCAAGATACTGCAAAGAAACAGAACAACATGAAAACACTTAAGCCCCGATAACTGTACGTCAACTCCCAGTAATTCAAAACACGTAAAACTAAGAAATGATGAAAGCTTACCAGATGCAAGTATCACCAAGGTTTTGTCCTTTGAACAATTAAAAGGGGACACGATCAACCTTAATTTTGGTTTTCTACGTCACAGATCGTTGTCTAAACAAAAAAACGTCTCTGGCAAGTTCTTACTTTTAAGCCTCTCTTGATAAGCCGCAAAATACGTCATCATACAAAAACTATGTTGGAAAAAACCCACTGCAGAACTACATGCATCTTATTATACCTGTTCACCTTCCAACTGAGAAACACTGGTTGCTTGCCATTATCAGCATCATCAACCTTTGTATATACATTAATGATTCTGCCACCATTCCAGAGAACACATACCAATCAATATTCCAAACCCTGAAACAAAAGTTTATCAAGAAAGAATGGCAAACCGTGCCACTACAACAATGTACGCTATTACACAGGGATAACTGGGAAGAGAAAACACCATCATGTACGAAGCAGATGAAAGAGATCGACTGTGGTGTGTATACCTGCTCGTTTGCAAAGCAGTATTTGTCAGACTGCAATTCTCCCGTGGCATATGAAGGCGGTGATTTTCGAAATGAAATGGTGGGTGATTTATTCGAACTAGCAGCCTCTAACAAATGTTGTGGTGATTTCAGGTGGTTGTCAGGTGACGCTGTTGGTAAACATAAAAATGCAGAAGAAATGTCATAGAAAGAGAAACTTGACGTGGAGGTGCAAAGTGCTGGACTTCAATACCGCAACCACCTACTCCTTAAGATGGCAACTGCATGTTCCATGCAATTAGTGACCAACTCGCACGCCTCGGTTTAACCTTCAAGACCCCATCAGAGCTGCGTTCGAGCGTCATCCAATATCTGCGAAAAACAACCCTCTAACGTCGGATGGAACTCACCTGAGAGAGTTTATTTCCTACCAATCCTGGGAGAGCTACTTGCGTAGAATGTCTCAAGACGGTGTATAGGAGGACTGGATTACCCTGTGCCTTGTAAACATGCTCAACATCGACATAGCCATAGTGTCAAGTGTAGAAGAGGGTGGCCTGCGAGTAATAAGCCCAGGTGATACATCTAACAGGGACTACAACCTCAACCGGACGGCACTTCTAGGCCACGAGGCCGTGGAACATTACCACAGTCTAGACAACGTTACCACCCTTTCGGCTGAGAAAGGGGAGGATCTTGTCGACTACATGAAGAACAAGTACGGTGAAGGAAACATCTCGGAGGAAATTTGTCCGAAGTGCTGCAAGAAATTTAAGTGCCTTTCTGCGGGAATTTATGCCGACGACTGTTATGCTTGTTACATGTGCTCTAAAGAGGAGGAATGGTACTTGTACGAAACGTAATATTTTTAACGGTGCGTTCAACGACATTTGAGATGCCATTTTTACATTTATTTACAAATTGGAAAATATTTTGTATTTCGGTAAAAAAAAAACCAACATTTANCAACGACATTTGAGATGCCATTTTTACATTTATTTACAAATTGGAAAATATTTTGTATTTCGGTAAAAAAAAAACCAACATTTAGTCGATTTGTTGGATCTTGCCATGCTCTGCTATTACAAAGTTTCCTATTTCAGAATGTTGTTAACAATATGTTTCACTCTCATTTCCCTCCATTTACGTGATTTTCAGATTCCTTATAATGTTACCAAGACAAGGTTTTGTTAGCTAGCCATTTAACACGTTAACATTTTCGTATCTGTTTCTATTGTTTGCTGTCATGTGATCAATTTTATTTGTAAGTTATGCATACCTATTAAGAATTTAAGTCGTTCCTGTTATGTGGTTGCATTATGTCAGTTGCAGTCCACCTTTCATAAAAACATTAATTAGCTTCAGCTACAAATGTTTCTACAAATTGCATTTATTGCAAAATTTTCCCTATTAGTTTACTTTATTCTCTTAGTTGTTAATATCGCGCCGTAAATCTATTTACTACATACGCCAAGATGTCTTTACTTTCCCTAATTATTGAGTAATCCACAGTCCCATGTTTAATCACCATTCCATAATTCCTTGGGGATCATTTCGGGGTTGACAAGAAGAAAAGTGGGGATCATTTTGGGGTCAGGATCATTTCGGGGTCGGGATCATTTTGGGGGCTGTACAGGTCACACTCATTTATTCATGTCACTGGCATTGGGTCAGAAAGTCCATTTGCTGTCAATGAATCTTGCAAGATAGTTGATGACACTGTAGTCCTGTTTGTATTTCCAACCAGGTGACCATTTTGGCTGAACAAAGTAGGTAGATCAAGGGTGTGCCTTGATGTCTTTTGTAGTTTTGACAAAATTACTGCTATTGTCATTATTTATTTCATATTCTTTTGAGTAAAAAACTTTTCCCTTTCTGCTGAGTAAAGGCTAGTTTCAGCTTTTGTTTTGTAATGATGGAGCCACTTGATTATTGTAACTAGCTAACTCGACATTGTTGTATTTTTTTAATGTTATCTCAGTGACCTCGAAGATGCCCTGAAGCTACTCAATGAAGACCTGACTATGGCAGAGGATGATAATGATACTGATGATAGTGAATTTGAACCACTGTTAAGTATGATTCTGCAAGACACATAGGATAATGACAAGCTCTACTTATCAAGCAAGGGGTACCGCAAGGAAGTGTCTTAGGTCCCGCACTGATTTTGTTATTTGTGAATGACATTCCATTACATCTAACAAATTTAACTGTGGACATTTACGCTGACGAAACTACAATAACCGCAAGTGTGCATTTTTCAGATCTATGCTCGATGACCCAACGTTTAAATTTCGATCTTGATGCGGTTCAGAGATGGGCGTCTTGCAACAAAATGTTCATCAACAAGAAAAAACGAAGTCCCTTTTAGTGCACAGAAAGCGCATTCTTGCTAAGCTGGATGAAGACACACTCCTATGCTTAGATGTCAAGATTAATGACTCTGTTATTGAACAAGTCTCTTCTCATAAGATTTTAGGAGTAGTTATAGATAGTCAAATGAACTACGAATCACACATTGATGAATTATGTAAGAAACTTTCCAAACACATAGGACTCTTCAAGCATATTAGCCCGTTTCTTAAGCAACGTCAAAGGAAAACCTATTACAATGGTGTTATAAAACCCACCCTCCTGTATGGGAGCATGATATGGGACAGCTGCAATGTCAAACATCTTCAAAGTATTTTAAAACTTCACCAAAGAGCGGCATGCATTATACTCGATGCTGAAAGACTTAAACCATCAGTCGTATTATTCAATAATCTAAACTGGCTCCCTTTTACTAAACAATCTCTAATAAAGAGATGCGCACTAGTGTATAAGCAGGTCCACAATTATATTACGCCTATCTATTTGAAGAGTCTATTATTCAGAAATTCAGAAATTCATAATCGAGCCACTAGACATTCAAACATAAACTTGGTGTGCCCCAAGTAAAAACGAAAAACAGAACGAGGTCGTACTTTCACTATTAGGACTATAAAGGACTGGAATTGCATGAATTCCAATATAAGAAATAATGGCTCACTAGCAAGTTTTAAGCATAACGTTAAATCCTTTCTAGCTGAACAAAAGGCGGCGATGATCCTTCGACCGTAATTGTACATACGTTTTATGTTGTTTTTATCTATTTTAGTCATAATGTCCTTTTAGAAATTATCTATTATATTTTAGCCTAAATTATCTTTGAAAATAGTATATTTTATAGTTTTTAGTTGTAGAATCTTTATTTGTCATATCTATCATTCATACCATACAATGCCAGTCAAGGTCAGCCCTTGTACTTGCACTCGTATTCCCATGAACATGAGTGGACCACAGGAAGATGCGACCACAAAGAAATGGAACCCAACGAAGAACACCCTCCTTGGTTCGACCAATCTGCTCTAAGATCATCATTCAGAATGAATGTTGTTCTCTATAATTTGCAGGATTTCATCAACACACTTGACTCATTGACCATAAAGAAACTGTGTATCACAAGCCTGAGATGGGGAATCAGAAGTCTGGATTATATAGACTCCTTGCTCATTATGGAAGATAATCTCCAAGTCTGGCTGCCATTTTGAGGGACTTGTCAACATGAAGCGTGACAGATATAAATCGAGCAGGTAGATCTAAAACCGTCAGAAATACATATGAAAGCACTCAAATAAACTTACTTTCAATTCAAGTGGCAAAATTTGAAATTGCTCGTTAAAGTTACCATTCATAACATCCCATGTGACCATTTCTTCCAGCAATTCAAACACTATAACCACCTAGTGTTCTAATTCCTCTCGTCGATTCCTCCGTAAGAAATAACCTCTGCCACCCAAGCTTTGACTCGAATGTGAAGTACGAATCAAATAACATAACTGCGTCATCTTCATGGCAATATCACGCTGGTATTTTGATTTTCTGATTGACAAGAACGGTGATCAGAAAGCGATGTTTACCCCATAAACGTGACTGCTGACCAACCGGTGAGTGAAAAACAGCACTGCTCAGTGGCGAGGGGCGGGGTGTAGAACAATTTGCCGACTGATGTAAGACAAGGAAAATCTTGGACTGGCTTTCAGAAACTTAACTTAACTTAACTTACTGTTAACTTTTAGCTCGAACACGGCATTCAAGGAAAACAGGCTTTAATTTTAAAATTAGTTTGTTTTTTTTTTATTTATTTCAACATTCATCTTCTAATGCTATTACAGTTAATTCTATAGTCTGTTACCATTTTTAGGATATTGTATATTGTATATTTAGCCTGATTGTTTTGACCGTGTATAAATAAAAGTGATGATGATGATGATGATGATAAGGATGGTAATACTGCAAAGCCTTGAAAATCCATTAATACTACTGCTGATGAACTGTAGGATGGATAAGCCCGAGTTGATTTCCTCACGATTGCCTTGCCCCATTCAGGAGAATGAAACATTCATCACTGACCTTAATTCCTTGGCCCATAGGAAAGATATCTTCTGTGATGACAAAAGGAGTAGAATGATGAAAGCAAATAGAGAGAAGTTGTACTCTGCAACAACTCAGAAGGTCAAGTTTCTTCATTGTGCAAGGATTCATCAGAAGCGGACATACAATATCAGTGAGAAGGCACCCATACACTTGCAAGTCCTGCCCTCAATTTCACAAGATAATTGTAACAATTGAATATGGAAAGTTGATTAAGAAATGGTTCCCTTTAGTACTTGTTCATTAGTACAGGGAAGTGAAGCCAAGAAAGTTCAAAGTCGCTTCACATGGCAATCGCTAACTTGAATCCTTGGTGCCACCATATGTGAGGACAAAAGAAAGCACAAAGCAGAGTCTGGTACAAAACCTCTTAGAGAACAAGACAAATTCAAAACGTGCACTTTTCAAGATACTGAGGATAGTGGTGAGGTTTGTGGCACTGAGAGTGCGAGTTCTTTGCCAAGAAATGTACCACAGGACAACATCACAAAACATCAGCTGGGACTTAAAACCTCTGCAGCATCAAAAGTCAACAGTGACCCACTGATGGCAGTGCTTGACCTCCAGAAGGGCTCATGTTCATGATCTGTTAGTGAAGTCACTTGTAACGATCTGCCGATGGTGATGCTCTTCACCAACCAACAAATGGATGACATCATTGGCTTCTGCCGCCATAAGAAACGAAACTTTGTTTCACAACTTGGGTTGGATGCAACATTCCAATTAGGGTCTTTTTATCTACCCCTAACCACTTACAAGAACCACTTGCTTACTGTGCAGGGTACCAGCCATCCTCTATCTCGTCTTGGGCCAGTTATGGTATGCATAACCAAAGGACAGTTGACATACCTGTCATTCCTCCACTGTTTATAAGAGCTGTACCTGGGCTGGGTAACTCTCTTCATGCAACTGGAACAGATGAGTCTGCCCTGCATAATGCCATTTCTGCTAGTTTCCCTCAGTTACACCCGCTGTTCTGTTACTTGCACAGCAAATAAATGTCACAGAAAAGTTAGGGCATTTGGGCCTGTCACAAGCCCTCTGTGAACAAATTCTTGAGGATCTCTTTGCCAAAGGCACTGGACTTCTGTGGTCCTATTCTAAGGAATAATTCGACAGGAGGGTGCAAGTTCTAATGGAACACTGGCACAGGTTGGAGTCATCAGAGCACAAAGACCCAGAGTTTGTGGAGTACTTCTGTAAATGTAAATTGGACAAAACGAGAGACAGAATGGCCAAGTAAGTTGTGAAGGAGCTAGGGCTGGGGGAGGAGCCATACTGGCAGAACATCCCAGAAGCTGTAAACCAGGCCTGTAGCAGGAAGAGGGGCAGGGAGCGCTTAAGCCCCCTGAAATTTTCAGACTTCAATTAAGTTCTGCTACAAAAGTGGAATTTTTTCTACTAAAAT